CTCGGCGACCTCGGATGCGGGGCCCTCACCTGTGCGTGCTCTCGGACAGCGCGCCCTCCAGCCACTGCTGGATCAGCTCGGGCTTGAGCTTGTCCTGGTGCCCGCTCCGCAGCTGGTGGCACGGCCTCAGAGCGCTGTCCACGTAAGAGGAGGCTGTCGTGGGCACCTCCTGGGGGAGTGGCGGTGGGGGTGAGAGATGCACAGAGAGAGAGAGAGAGAGAGAGAGAGAGGACGATGTTCAAACCTCAAGGTCAAAGGAGACTAGTTGCCCTCCCGTTCTGAGACACGCACACCCACACGCTCCCTGGTGAGGGTGCGCCCCCCAAACCCGAGCTCCTCGGAGGAGAGGGAGTGGCCTCCTGCCTCTCCTGCCCTCTCTCCCCGCCTCACAATTCTCCGCAGTGAATGCACCGACCTTGTTGGTCCGTCGGTACAGCCGGGGCACCTCCAGGGCGCTCTTCAGGGAAGCGAAGCAGGACTCGCTCAGGTCCTGGACGATCCTGGCACTGAGGGCGGGCGCGCAGGCCGACAGGGACAGCCGCGAGTCCTCCAGGGCGGCTGTGACACACAGACTGAGCTCAGTCACGTACCCAGGCCGGTGTGACTGTCACTTTAAACGCTGCCATGGTATTTCGAGTGTACAACCACACATCGAGTCAAATGGCGAGCATGCAACACGGTTTCGCATTGAGGGACGTTATAATCATACAACAGAGAAACAGCTAAGGGTTTACAGCTAAAGAGAATGGTCGTTGAAATGCACCCCAGTCTCTAAAGTTTTATTTTAAATTATTTCCTATTCAAAGATTTGCTAAGTCTGAGATTTGTTTTTACCTGAGATAGAAGAAAAATTCTTAAAGCCAATCATCTCGAGTTTGGGCTGGATGATTTCCAAGAGTTCTGGAAGCTGGAATAAACGTGCAGTTTATGTGCAGTTACTTTTTAAATCCAAGGAGGAGGCGATTCTCTTTGCATCTGCGTCCTCTAGGACACTGTTAGAATGATAAAACCGAACTCGGACGCTCGGCACCTTTCACAAGAAAGCAAAATTCTTGCCCTAACCGGTTTGGCTCAGTGAATACAGCATCAGCCTGAAGACTGAAAGGTCCCAGGTTCGATTCCGGTCAAGGGCATGTACTTGGGTTGCGGGCACATCCCCAGTGGGGAGTGTGCAGGAGGCAGCTGATCGATGTTTCTCTCTCATCGATGTTCCTAACTCTCTATCCCTCTCCCTTCCTCTCTGTAAAAAATCAATAAAATATATTTAAAAAAAAAGAAGTAAGCAAAATTCTCAATGACAACCTTCATGGAAAATGGACCCACCCCGGGAAGCAACAGGTGCGTGGCTGTTCCCACGCCCGAGAACAAACATCATCTTCTATTCCGTGGCTGCCCCGCACCAAGAAGGTCACAAAAAGGCCATGTTCTTGCTCAAAACATACAATATTTTGGAGCGCCACAAAATATTTCAACTCGAGGAAAGCACAATTATGTAACAGAGGACTTAACACAAATTCATCCACCAGGTTCTCTTAATAAAAGCAAAACACAGGACAGACGCAGACACAGAGGGAAAAACGAATAGTTCAGGACTCTCAAAGTAGAGCTGAAGAGTAAATGTTACTAAGAAGTATTTGGGCTCTTGAATGGAAATAATTAAATCCAACCCAGCACGGATCAGGCCTGCACAGGGAGTGGAGTGGATGAAAAAGAACTGGGGAGCCGCTCACACTGAGCTGGGACGCAGGGAGACCCGGCGGGAGGGAGGAGGGAGAGCGGCTGCCAGGAAGGCTGGATGGGGGGAGACGCGGGAGGTGTTCTCTTGGGTACCTGGGCCCGCGGGTCTGCAGCCCTGCGGCTGCTGCCAGTGTGGGCACGCTCTCGGGGAGCCGCTGCCCGAGCACGGGGCATCCTGGCACACAGGCTTACCTGCTCCTGCAGCCGGGCCAGGTCGGCGGCCGCGTGCACGAGCTGCGTGCTGGAGATGGTAGCCGTGGGCTTCGCCTCGGAAGGGCCGCTGCCCGGGTCCTCGCTGTTTCCCGGGGCAGCGGGAGCGTCTTTGCTAGCAGTTCCCAGAGGCTTCCTAACGTCCTTGGCGCTCTCATTCGAGATGGGCCTGAGCAGAAGCTGAAACGGGATCCATGGTCACACACTCCTCCACCAGGAAGCTCCATGGGACCCACATTCGCGGCCCAGCAAGTCACGGGAAATGCTGGCGTCCACCACCCAACTCCCCTCTCACGGCAGCATGGCCGTTTCCAACTGAAACGGGATCCATGGTCACACACTCCTCCACGAGGAAGCTCCATGGGACCCACATACGCGGGCCAGCAGGTCACGGGAAATGCTGGCGTCCACCATCCAACTCCCCTCTCACGGCAGCATGGCCGATTCCATCTCAGTGCACTTAGGCCAGTGATGGGAACCTTTTGAGCTCGGCGTGTCAGCATTTTGAAAACCCTAACTTAACTCTGGTGCGTGTCACATATAGAAATTTTTTGATCTTTGCAACCATAGTAAAACAAAGACTTATATTTTTGATATTTATTTTATAGATTTAAATGCCATTTAACAAAGAAAAATCAACCCCAAAAAATGAGTTCGCGTGTCACCTCCGACACGCGTGTCCTAGGTTCGCCGTCACTGACTTAGTAGCCCGATGTATCTCTAAGGCTCCGTGGCCGGGCTCACCTCGTTGAGGAACACGGAGTACCGCGCCAACACCTGCAGCGTGAGCCTCCACAGCCGATGCGCCAGCGACGGCAGGAACAGCTGCTCCGACCAGCACCTCTGCAGGCAGCTCCACGTCCGGTGAGACGCCAGCAGGCAGTAGGCGCTCCCAGCTGCAGGGAAAGCACACGAGGGGCAGGCGCCTCGGTCAATGCGGCTACGATCTAGGGCAGTGATGGCGAACCTATGACACGCGTGTCAGAGGGGACACGCGAACTCATTTTTTGGGTTGATTTTTCTTTGTTAAATGGCATTTAAATATATAAAATAAATATCAAAAATATAAGTCTGTTTTACTATGGTTGCAAAGATCAAAACATTTCTATAGGTGACACGGCACCAGAGTGAAGTTAGGGTTTTTCAAAATGCTGGCACGCCGAGCTCAAAAGGTTTGCCATCACTGGTCTAGTGTCTTCAGTGTGTGACCCGGGGGTCAGAGTGGCACCCTGAGGTCTGTGTGGTCAGGGACACGGCTCAGCGATGCACTCTCTGATTTTACACGATTCCACCGCCTAGGTGTCTGATAACTATTAACCGTATACAGCTTCCAGAAATAGCCAGTTAATAAGCACTTCGTACCAAATCAACGAACACGAGTCAAAGTGGCCATCACTTGCCAGGGTTTAAACTTTGGCTTTGAATTTGCCTGTTTCATTTATCACCTTCTCTTCCCTACTTGAACACACGATTTGGATGCAGGGAGTTCACTGCACTTGAGCATTTTGGCAAAGACAGATGCGAACTAACTTTCAGGCCACAGAGTGGAGTGCAGAAATAGTGCGGCAGCCAGGCCTATGGGCTACAGACACAGCCCGTGTTCTGTGAGCGACTAAACGGTCATAGTCAACAGGCTGCCAGCCAACAAGAATCTCATTACTTGCTGACAGGACGGGGCTGTAAGGGATGCAAACCCGGCTGGAAAGTCTGCATCCCAAGCAGTGCCACCTGCCCGATGAGCCAGGACTGAGGCCCAGCCCCAGGTGGGACACGCCAGGGAGGGAGGGGGCCGTCGGATCCTGGGAAGAAGGCAGCACGCAGCCAGTTTGCTACAAAAAGGGCTGATCACTTGGCAACCAGGGGCTAAGCCCCTCAGCATGTGATGTGCAGGAACAAACACGAGGGCTGCTCCCCATGTTCTTACAGCAGCCTCTTACTAGCTCTATAAAGCAAAAACCATAGGAACCACAATATTTGACTTCTTTTTGTCTCAAAAAAGGCCAGTCACAGGAAGTCTTTAAGGTCCAGCTTCCTGGATCCCAGGAAAGGGTGCAAGTGCCCTCGGGGATCGGGGTCGAGATGGTGAGCTCCGCGCCCCCTCGGGGACCTGTCATTCACACCTTAAGGCATTACCTGGAGCGTCTTCCAGGGCATCTGTCAGCGCTGCCTCTAAGGATCCCGCGATCTCTCTGAACCTGGGATAAAACAAGAGCGAGAATCAGTGTTTCTGCTGCTGCTGACGCCTTTCCCTGTCCATTCCCCCTTCTTCCTAGCACCAGGGACTTCCTCCACCCGGGGCCACAGAGGGCGGCCTGAAGATACCCAGGTCCTGATCCCTGGAGCCTGCGGCCGTGCCCTCATATGGCACAGGGGGCTTTGCAGGTGGGGTTCAATGAGACCCTGAGGTGAGACAAGATCCTGGATTATCTGGGTGCAATCACGTGCTCCTTAAAAGGAGGAGGCTGGGGAGAAATGAAGACTTAGCAGATAGAGACACAAACGCACAGTTTTACACACACATGATAAAGTACAAGAATGGGGGTGGGGGTACGTGCACAGTCGGATGCAGGCGCACACCTGTTACTAAGAGTGCAATGAGAATACTTCTTAGCGACATGTCAAACACTCCGTTCCCACTGGTTTTGAAACTTCCTTCAAATGACCCCAGGGTGAGTGAGTCAGATAACAGCGCAACTCTGACCCCAGCCATGTTTGCAGGATTTTGTCACAATTCGGGGTAAACAACTCAACACCTGATAGAAATCAATAGGAGAGTCCTACAGAGTATCACCTGAGTTTATTTTTTAAACGGAAAAACAATGTATTGAGAACAAGCTCCATATCTGAAAAATAATTTTTACACAACAGCCCAGGGCAGTGCCCGGACATGCGTGACAGTGCAGGATTCCTAAGCAGGCGTCATGGGGTCCGGGGAAACGATAGAAAAGGGGAGTTTGCTGGCCTGAGTGGCCCAGGGGTTGAGCATCAACCTGTGAACCAGGAGGTCAGGGTTCGAGTCCCAGTCAGGGCACAGGCCCGGGTTGCAGCTCCATCCCCAGTGTGGGGCGTGCAGGAGGCAGCCGATCCATGATGCTCTCTCATTCTCCCTTCCTTTCTGAAATTTTTTTTAAAAAAATTTTATTTTAAGAAAATAAGAAGAAAAAAAGAGGAGCTAGCAGGCAGTAGACAGCAGGATGTGCTATGATGGCATCTAACTCCAGGCAGGGACGACAAAAGAACCGGCCAGATCTCAACAGCACTTGCCGGTGGCAGCCTTCGCCTGTCAAACGATGCTTCCCTCTTTCAGCTCTGCTCAGGAAGCAAAGGGCTTCCAGCCCGGCCGGATCCCGATCGTCAAACCTCTGCAGTGCAGTCCACACACACCTTAGAGGGGCAAGTCCTGGCTTTCCTAACACAAGCTAAGCTACACGATGTAACCTGGACACATGAAGCATAAACACAGGATCGCACGTATGTGAACGGGCATGTGGCTGACACTCTGAAAGCTGTGATTTCATTATCAGAGGTGATTCCATACATCACCGTCAAGGTGAGCAATTACAATCAAGGCACCTAATTCGTAATCCATTCCCTGTAATTTTTCCTCAGCGCTCTGGGGAAAGGACGGCATCACAGTGAACGAAAGCATAAAAAAACTAAACAAAACCCTATGATTCTTTAAAGAGCGTTTTGACCAAAAGGCCCTAGTTAATGCCGTTCCGCGGGGGAGCTGACATGACCTCATTCAGGGGAGCCTGCAAAGATGGAGCTATCATCTGCTTTCCCAGCGGAACCCATGGTGCTGTGGTTATGATGAAGCTCCCCGGGCAGTTGTAGAGCCGCTCCCTGACACAGGCCACAGCATCGTGGCGTCGGGGAGAAAAGTGGCCCCGCTTTCCAGACCAGAGAGACGAGTGTCACCGTTGATAAAGGAGCCAAGGTAACAACCAGGACTCTTGTCACCGGGAACACAGAATCCGCTGGAAGAACACCTCTTGGAATCCAAAGCCCACACCCTTTCCTCCCCCCACCCTGAGGGGAACCTGGCACAGAGGACCAGAAGCGACAGTGGTGGACAGGCCACTCGTGGAGGCGGCTGACGCGACAGGGACAGCGGCAGGGAAGAGCTGCCACCCACTCTCACGCCCTCTCCCCCACGATGAACGAGAGAACGTGTGGGGGTGAAGCTGGGCTTGGAGTTCAACCTGCTCCGCGTCAGTTCTCAGCTCGCTGGTTACCACTCAACCTTATCCTGTCATGCCAGCCTAATGCTGACATTCGTGATATTTCCTGTACATTTCCACTCGAAAGTTTGTTTCCCAAAGGATAGTATGATGATCCCAAAGATAAGGCTGTTAACAGGGGGCCCCGACATCCTTAGCTGGTACTCGAATTCTCTTAGGGAGGTGGAGGCGGGCGGGGAATGAGCTACTGACCGTATTTGAAAATAAACTGGCAAGTTCCACTTATTGTTGAAGCTGTGATAGGCAGGATGCGCGCGCAGTCTCCTCACGCTGGCCTGGGATCCGCACTGCCGTTCAAATGCCCTCACGAAGCCCATGCTGATGGTGTATTTCTAAAATAAGAACAGGCAGGTGGCATTTCCACTGCAAACACCCGGAATTGGGAGCATCTACTAAAACCTGTGATCGAGACAAAGGAGGGCGGCACAGACCCACAGCTTCTAGAGCTGACAGGGGCCCAAGGGACCTCCCTTCAGTCCCCACGCAAAGCCCAGGCAAGGCCCACGTGGCCCCGTGGCATGCTCAAGGTCTCCCGTGGCCGGTCCACTTGGACACCCGGTACTGCAGAGCTGTGCTCTTTACGTGACAGCTCTCGTCCTCTAGGGCACCCCTCACCCCGTCCCTGGAGCTGGAGGAGACGGCAGATTAAGCAGTACAGCCTCCATCGCCTCTCCAGAAGAAGTGCAAAATTTTAAAAAGGAGAGACTCAACCATGTGAGTAATGACGTCACTTTTATAGACGAGACAGCAGCAAAAGTGACGGGGACGTAACAGCCGCAGAAGAGCAGCAGCTAATACTTCCTTAGCAGCTACCATCCGCATATATGCTGACATCGGTTATTAATTTAACCCACAAAACCACCCTAGGAGGCAACTGCCATTATCATCAGATGATGTTTCCTCTTCTGTTTAGGCTCAGAGAGAATTCGCCCAAAGACAAAACCGAGAAAGAGAAAGCCAACAGAGCAAAACCCGGGCTGCTGTAAGGGATGCGCTACCCCCAGGCGCCCAGGCTCCGGGGAGAGCACCCTGCCTCTCCATGCCTCCTTCTCAGGGAAGAGGGGCTCCCTTCGCCTCAACACGCTGAGGCCTGTGCTTCCACAGAAGGTTCAGAGCAGTGAGCACCCCAGGTCCTTGTGGGACCCCCTGAGCACGGGCAGGTGTGTGGACTTGAGGCCAAGAAAGCTGTTATTCTTCTCTTTCAGGGTGAAACTATACCTGAGGATCTAATGGATGCTAATAGAATACAGAGCATTTCCCTCTGCGAGGGAAGCAGGTCACATTAAAACTGCACGCTGAAAGCATTTCTTGAAAGAAAGAGATGCTTGCTGGACACTACGCCCACAAACATTAAATACTGGGAAAGGATTCTAAAGTTAAACTTTTTCCAGAAAGCTTCATTTCTGAGCTGAAACGAATCATAATGTGATCAATATGATTCTCTAAGGAGCACAGCAAAATATAAAGGCTCTTAAGTTGCAAATTCTTAGGACAATTATTTCACACTGCCTATGGTATCTACTTTTTAAATCACAGAAATCATTGTCAATGTCCTATAACGTGGAACAATTAGCCCAGAGGACAGATGAGTGATATTTCTGGGACAATGAAGTTCGACCAGGCCCCAGGCTCAAACCACACTTACCTCTTGCCTCTCTACATTTAAAAATCATCAAATTCCCCAGGCCGATTAGAAAAAGAAGCAAAGAGAACTTCTAGAAGTGACAATTAGGGTAATTAAAGTTGTAAACAATGTCCAGATTAAAAACAGTTTAGACACAACTGAAGAAGGAATTAGTACACTAGAAGACAGGTCCCGAGAAATTACCCAGAATGCAGCACAGAGACCAAGAAATGAAAAATAGAAAAGTCCTTTTAGGAAACATAAAGGATCTAGACTCACATGTGGAGTCTAATCCAGGGTTCTGGAAGGAAATAACAGAGGAATGGGAGGGAAGCACAACTGAAGAGACAGGGAGACAAATGTTCCAGAATTTACGAAAGACAACAATCCTCGGATTCAGGAAACCAACACATCCCAAATACAGTAACTAAAAAGCAGCTCTTCCTAGACATACTATAATGAGAAAGCACACCAAAGTCACAGATTTTAAGAGGCGATTTTAGAGCAGCCAGAGGAAAAAGGCACCAACTACAAAGAAACCACAATTAGGTTGCAGCAAATTTCATTAACAGAAGTCAAAAGACAATGTTCAAAGTGCAGAGAATTCTATTTCCAGCAAAACTACTTTTCAAACATGAAAGCCATAGGGTTATTTTTAGACAAACACAAACTAAGGGTTTATTATAAAAAATGAAAGTTATCGCCCTGACCGGTGTGACTCAGTGAATGGAGCGTCGGCCTGCGGACTGAAGGGTCCCAGGTTCGATTCCGGTCAAGGGCATGTACCTTGGTTGTGGGCACATCCCCAATAGGTGGCGTGCAGGAGGTAGCTGATCAATGTTTCTCTCTCATCGATGTTTCTAACTCTCTATCCCTCTCCCTTCCTCTCTGTAGAAAATAAATGAAATATATATTTTTTTAAATGAAGGTTATCATCCACAGATCGTTACTAAAAAAGTCTCCTAACATGACCTTCAGGAAGAAGAAAAACGACCCAGGAGGGAGGCCTAACATCCAAGAAGGAACAGCCTGCGAAGGACCCGAGCCAGCGGGAGTGACACCTGACAGTCCTGAGGGGACAATGGCCACAGACAACAGCAGCAATCAGGCCGGCTTGGGGCTACAGAAATCAAAACAGAAACGAGACCCGGAAACAATAACACATGCTATGAAATGGGGCGACCAGCATTCAAGGGTCCAAGCTCCCTGCGCCGCTCACACGGCTGAAGAACGCCAGCCACCGTTAGGTCCTGTAACCACTCAGGCTGCTTAGTACACGGAGCAATAAAGGACAGAACTTCAAAATCAGTAGCGGGAACAGGGGACACACAGCGTGAAGAAGGCAAACAAACCCCCAGGGTCCAAAGCACAAAGGAGGAGGGAAAGGAAGGAAGAAAAGAGGGACAAGCAGGAAGCACTAGACCCAAATGAATCGGTCATTGCGGTCATTATACACTTGATAAATCACCTAATGAAAAGACGAAGACTGTCATACTGAATAAAAAAAATTAAAATCCAGGGAAGGAGAAGGCAGAGAGGCCCCAAGAGGCTAGTGGGGCGGAGCGCTGGGCCAGGGATTCAGGCCGCTGGCCCAAGAGTCTTATTCTTCACTGTGGCCCTAGGCATTGCCTTAAAACACAATACGACAAAAAATAAACATAATTTTTTTTTTAATTTCAAAAGTAAAGATAAATTTACTTTTGAAATCTAAACCATGAAATACTTTAAATGATAACATGATTTTAAGAAAACAGTACATTTTAGGGTCTCCTAATCTTTTAAACTACATAGGACAATTCTATACATTTTAAAGTCTAAATCAATAGTTTTTGTTTTCCTTCACAATTATACAGTAGAGGCATAAAAACTTAACTTTTTCATGGACAATTATAAAGAAAAGGGCTTTTAATGGTACTAGGATCTTTTTTTTTTCCACTTTGAAAATAATGTACATATCTAGTCACAAATGCGTCTAGACTGAATTTTACTTTATGTTCTAAAATTAAAATATTCTCACTCCCAAGAGTCTCGGGGACTATTACACGAATAGAGCACTGTGTATGCCTTAAGGTAAGCGCTCACGTAGCAACTCACACTGTCGTTCTGACCCAACCACAGAGCCACGCCTGTGCAGAAGACAACATGATCGCTCTAAAACCTCGGGTTAACATCTTCAAGAGTCAAAACGAAGGAGGGACAGGTACCTCGTGAAATGCATTGGGATCCCCAGGGTTAAAGAGTGAGGGCAGGTTCTCCTCTAATCCTCGCACTATTTCCGGCCAGACCGAATTCACCAAAAAATCATATCCGGGAACAGTATTGCCTTTCTCACTGTAAGGAAAGAGCAAAATTGCAGTCAAATACACCATCATCTTCTACGTACAGAGAGCAAAATTCTACTGTGGTGCTTTAACTACAAGTTCCTCAGCCTAACACTTATTTCAACCCCTTTTTTAAAAACTGTCAATTAGTTTGTTTCTCCACCCACGTTTCTATTTCACGCCTTAAACTCAGACTCACCTTGAACCTGACGCATTGCAGAGGGAGCTGGTGTCAAGGATAAGGCAGAACCACCACGCCAAGTTGCCTGGACACCATTTCCCCCCTTAAAGTAGGACACCACATCCACACTCGATCTTAGAGAGGAGGCGATCTACCACCACAAGAAAAGTGATCTTTGCACGCAACCTGAACACCGATGACGCTAATTTCTCAATGACTAACAGCGTTGTCACTTCTGAACTGTCTCTGAGATTGCCCCAGTTCTAAGGTTCTATGATGGCATCATAAAGCCCCGTTTTCCTCTAGAAGCAGTGAGACGCCACTACCGACATGAAGAAGGCAAGGATCTGAAGCTCAGACTTCTGGGTGAAGGCGAAAGACGAGGCAGAGGCAGGGAGAGCAAGTGGGCAGAGCCTGTTACTTTGGGGACAGAGGACAGAGGCCTGGACTGGGCCAGTGGCCGTGGTGACAGGTAACGGGGTATTTATGCAACGGAACTGGGAAGTCATGGGAATTAAAGGAGGAAAAATTGAAAATGACTTCCATCACACTCAGTACAAAACCCGCAGCCATCACACCCAGGTGCGTTCTAGCACCCCCTAATCAGCGTGCACCAGGCGGGGGGTGCAGCCATCACACCCAGGCGCGCTCTAGCACAGCAGACAAGTACCTTGAGATGGCCCCGCCTGTGACTTCCCGAAGAAGGCGGCAATGGTGAGGCACAAACTCCAGGAGCTTGTTGTACATGATCTGCAGGCCATTGGGATGAGCGTCAACCACCTGCTCTATAATCACCTGTTAAAAGAAAGAGCATTTTCAAAAAGCACCTAAAAGCGACGTAGGAACTATATACCACAAAGGAAAGAATTGAGAAAACCCATCCTCCTCCCTAACGGACATGTTTTCTAAATGGTAGGTAAATCGTCGTTGCATCAAAACTGGTTTCTGGGATGAGCGTGCGCAGTTCCCTCGGCAATTTGCCTATAAAAGTCCTCCATCTTTGAATGTTCCCTCCCTCCCATCTCTCTGGCCTGGTCAACCCTCCATGTTTTTAAAGTCTTTGAGCCAAATCTCACTTCATTTGCCTCTGGTACCTGTCTTGACCAGGAATCACACGCTCCTCCCAGCTCACACACTGCTGGACTCGAGACCAGTTCAAAACTGCTGCCTACTAACTTTATTGACGTCTAATTTACATCCCACAAAACTGACCTAAAAATGCTTTGATGCGTACTTTCTCCCAGGCCAGCCCCTCACTCCCACCAAATGAAGATGACCCCTGGGCTGGGGCATCCTTAGAAAATACAGCAGAGCAAGCCGATTCCCGGCACTGATTTAACCACCAGGGCCCAGCCTTCTTCTACACCTGACACTGTAGCAGACACGCGCCTCTACGGAGAGCTCTCTGATCTGGCCCCTCGCCCAGTGAGGTCTTGGAGACGAGTAAATGCTGTGATGCTGGTGGAAGAGAGCCCTTGAGATCACAGACCTGGTCCATGTATGGCTTCACCAGAACCTGACCGACGAGGGCCTCTGCGTCGCGGGTCTTGTCGATGGTGGCGTACGTCCGTAAGCAGTGCCGGACGATGTCGACATCCGCCGTCTGAAGCCCTTCGAGCAGGAGGCCCTCCAGCGACTGCTGCAGCATGGCCGTGATGCCCGCGATCCGCTGCAAGGAGACAGGGGAGTCAGCAGGGCTCCGGCGGGAACAGGTCCTGGGAGTCCGAACACACACGTGACCCCTGTGTTCTAACAGAAGGTCATGCATGTAAGATGGACATGCTAGCAGCCTTTCCTGAAGATCCACAGCGACTCTCTCCTCCGCCCCACAATCTCTAGAAGTAAACCTTTATCATCAAAGGCGGGGTTAGAGAGAATTACAGAACGAGAAAAACAGTTATTTTCCCCTTAAGCTACAGTGTAAATCAAACACATGAATTTAAAGTCAGGGGCTCTGGATAAATGAACTCTGACTGAATCATAGAAAGCATCCAGTTACGTGAAATTCACAATTAACTTCACTCTTGCAATTCAGAGAATATGCCTGTGTCTTTACACAAAAGCTATAATGCATGACGTGTAGGAAGCAGGGATCTAAAAAAAAACACAAAAATGAAAGAAAAAATGCAAAGCTAGCTTCAAAACCCCGTGGATCAACAACTACGAGGGGCATTACTAGGTTAAACCAACATTATTTGGCAAAGTCCTAGCTACCACCCGTGAGAACGGACACTTACTGGTCTCACTTTGTCCAGGAGAGGCATGCCTTTGCTTTGAACTGCATGGAACTGTAACTGGTTAAATTCTGTGGCGATTCTCTCCAAAGTCTGTCCCGTCAGCAGTGGGCTAGTGGAGACAGGGCAGAAACGTGATTCCTGAAGCTTGTTCATGTCACACGGTTAGTGGTGGGGATCCTTGAGCACCGCTTGCTAGAACCTTCTCCAGTTTTCCACACCCTCCTGGTCCAAGGTGGGAGCTAAAGCCCCCTCTGTGCCATCGCCTTCACCACGAGCCACAGTACAGCACGTAGTAGGTGCAGTGGGAAGTTACATGAGCCGATGCGGCCTGGCCACGGGCCTCAGGGCCAGACAGGAGCCGGAGCCGGAGCCGGAGCCGATCAGTGGGGGTGCAACTCCTGTCTGTTCCCACCACCTTCCCCTGGCTCTCCCACTCACCTTTAACCTCTTTCTTCACCTTTAACCTCCCTTCTCTCCTCTTGCCCTTTCCTCTTATTCACACTTTTCTAAAGAAAGCACCTCTAATTCCTCTCAAACACCCAATTTGCTGTTGTCTCCTTCAGCAAATCAAACTAACCTTCAAGGAACAACAGATAGAATACCCCAAAACAGCTTCCTTTACATTTCCATGTACCGAATGGCTGAGAGCAGGAGTTTAGATGCTCTGGTCCTAGCTAGAGGACATTCATCGTGTATCTTTCCCAAAGCCTGGTCAGTCCCATCTTTTTTCTCACACACATAAAGCATCGCTCCCTCTCAGCAGGGAGTTAAATGGCAAGAGGAGAAAAGCAAACGGCCGGGAAGCACCGGCCGGCTTTTCCGAGGCAGCCTCTGCCTGATGCCGACCGATCAGGAGGGGACGCGTGCAGTGAGGGCAGCAGTCCCTGGTCCTGCATTTGCAGCATCCCACCGAGGCCACCCTAGGTGTGCAGCATTCACTGACGTGCGATTTCATAAGAAAGAGTTACCTGTGTCCTTCCAGTGCGGATGTTTCTTTAGAACTCTGGGAATTTAAGATCTTTTCAATTTTCTCAACCGACCGAATAACTTGAATAAGCCTCAACACACACATCTATTCAAATGAAGCAAAAACATGTTATGATGTTGAAGCACCCTACATTTTGAATGTCTCTGTGACACTGAACTTGTGAGAATGCCAATCTTAATCCTGGCTTTCTTTCTACAAGCATATTTCAACATTCTATCGCAAGGTTACTGTAGGAAAGAAACTGGACTTCTGTGCTTTCTCATGCTCTGCACTCTTTCTTATCCCTTCCTTCTTTTCCCATCTTAAACGAACCTTTCTACTGGTACGTTTATTTTCTTAGAACCCTTTTATTCATGTTTTAATGTGTCAATTGCACAACAAATATTATCAAAGAGGTTGAGGAACATTATAAAACTCTCATCCTTAAAAGAATAAAGATACAAGGTCATTCATTCAACAGACAGTTACTGACCCCCTACTGTGAGCCACACATTCTTCTAGAAGGTGGGGGCCGGAGTGAATAAATGAGAAAATGCCCTGCTCTCATGAAGCTTATGATCTTTTCTAGAAATGCATTGCATTCTGGGAAATCTTTAGGCAAAAGTTCAGAGGACATCTAAAGAATTGAACAGAAGGTCTCACACAGGCTTCTCCCCTTGACATTTAAAAAAATATGCTCATAGCCACCAGGGGCTCAGTTCATTCCTGGTCAGGGCACATGCCCGGACTGCAGGCTCCATCCCCAGTGGGGGGCATGGGGGCGGTGGCCGATCCATGATTCTCTCATCACTGATGCTTCTCTCTCTCCCTCTCTGAAATCTAATGCTAATAAATCCATTTAGAAGATACAGGAGGACCAGGCTAGAGTCAGAAGTCTTGAATCCTAATTCCAGCTCTGCTACTATACCGTTATGATTACACGTAAATCAGAAAATAAAATTAAAACTCAGGTCCAGTAAAATGTAAAGGCATGAAGGGGGAGGGGGAAACAGAAGTAATGAAGGTAGCAGAGTAAGAGCACCACACACCACTTTTTCTAGAACAATCAGCCTGCAGCACAAGGCTGAAATGTGCTGAGAAAGCCCTACCCCCTCATCTCTGAAACACCGGCACCTTCTCTGTAGGCGCACTGAGCATTCATATGCCTACTGAACTGTCACGTGCCTCCCTGAGGTCAGTTACGATTGTTTCTCATTCTGGACACAATTTTAATTTTGTGTCCAATCGGGTACCCCTACAATTTTGTCATATTTCAACTAGATACCATGACATTATGCTGCATATACATGTATATGTGAAAACTTTGAGGAGAAAAGCAATTTCCTCAAATCAAAACCAGGAGAAGAGAGGATGAGAGGGCTTTTAGCTGACATGCAGCCCATGAAATCTAGATTTCTTTAAAAATGTTAATGCTGCCACAACTAAATCCAAGCATAAGAAGACTGCAGATTTTCTGTCTTTTAAAACATTTTATGACTTTACCACACCCCCTCTTTAATCAGACCCGGAGCGAGGAGCCTGGGCCCCAGCCCTCACCAGCCCTGCTCAGCTACTCGACCCAGAAGAGGCTGCACGTGTCCTCTGCAAAGGTGCCCGGAGCGCACCAGCCCCCTGCATGACAGTGCCTTCCCTCAAGGTGCTGTCTGTCACAAGCCCAGGCTGCAAGGTGCTGTATGACACTTTACGTACCTTTTTCCCCCTAATGTCCTCTTGTTTAGACATTCGTTCATCTACTGCCCGAATTCCTTCACTGACAGATGACCTGAGACTCTTGAAAACAATAAAGTAAATGCACTGTTGAAATTGTTTCATGACATTTTACACATTTAATTCAATTCCACAGAACTGAACCAAATTTACATGATTAATTCAATTCCAGTATCTACAGGCCCGTATTATACAGATATTGACAAAATACAAAGTTTCAGACACAACTGCTATTGATTTGGGGGCAAAATGACATATGAAACGAGGGTCACACAGGATTAATGGCCAAAAGAATAATCTACAATGACTGTCGCAGATGGTCCGGGCAGAGAAAGGACAGTCTGAATCCGAGTACAGGAGAGTTTAGTGGGGGGATGGGACTGGACTTCCACACCTGTGCAGGCTGACCTGCGTGGAGGGGAGAATATTAGAAGACAAAAGGTAGAAAGATACAACTGAGCACCACATACTTGGGGCGGGGAGGCATCCACCTGGGCACTGCAGGCTTCGTTGTGGAGAGAAGTAGAAATAGGAAGGAAGGGGTTGACTTAGGAGGACTTCATTCAGATAAGGTCTTACTAGTAGACTAGATTCTATACATTTCGGAGAACTAAAAAATATTTAAGTGCTCATATACCACAATGTAATGTTGGTTTGGGAATATTAGGAAGCAAGAAGGGCCAGGAAAGGGGAGAGATCATGGGACAGGTGGAGAAACACGCCCAGCAGTGAATGCATCAAGCCACGTATGAGATCATAGAAATCAGGTCCAAAACAAAGGTCAGGAGAACAATTAGAATCAACAGGACAGCCCAGCCGGGGTGGCCCAGTGGTTGCTAGTCATGGGCCACTGAACCTCCGGCGAGAGAAGAGCAGCTACTGCAGGAGGGCAAGCATCACATACCTGACAATAGGATTTGGGGACTTACCAGAACTTCTTCTCGTAACTGTCCCAAAGGCACTGAGAGCTGGTTGAGGACCTTGTCCATGCCAACCTACAAGCGAAATCATGTCGCACACACACATCAGAGGCAGGAGTAGAGTGAAGTATCTGTTTAATGAGCAAAGCACTAGACGTAGTTACTCTCTCTGTATAGCCATATACTACTAAGCAACTAGCTAAATAACCAATGTCATTTCGCCATAAATATTGCTCATAGAATAAGAAAAACAATCTGCTGATACACATGAACCAATCAATAAGGGAAGTCCTAATAAACGAACGCTTCTTTATGCACAATTTGCCTTTGGATGAAATTTTAAATGAATCTGAAAAACATTTTAATGGGAGGGGAGTACAGGTGGTGTAAACGTCTGATGGATGGTCTCTAGCTCGTCTAAACGTGATTGTCACCTTTGAGGAAAATCCAAATTAAAAAGAAGGGAGATAAAGTTTTTTCGGATTTCTAATCCTAATGAAACATTTATCTTAGTGGTAGACTTCCCACACGCAAATATGGCTCATTCCCCTGCATGCTTCTTGAAGTCCCCGTGGAGATAACTACTTTCTGTACTTCTTTAAACAAATAGATTGAAAAACAAAATAAAATACGGACAAGACCAACTTTTCTTGCAAGTACGAAACCTCAAGCATTTATTTCTCAATGACTTTTACAAACCACCCGCATATTTTTCTGAAGCCAGCCTCCTACTGAGCCACACTGGCCACTGCTCCCTCAGCCTGGCTCTAGCCAGCACGCGCCTGCATGTAAAGCAAGCACTTCCTTCCGAACAGCTGATATTTCCTCTTGCCAATCAGTCTCCACCAGTGAGACGTCATGGTAACCACTTGCAAACTAACCAAAGCCACTACTTCGGTATTATTGCCCTTTATCTTGTGCTATACATGTGTTATGTTCACATATAACTTACGAATATAACTATATGTATAGTTACCCTTAATAACAAATTCACAAATAATCAAACTAACACAGTCTTAAATGAGAAAAAATGGAAACAAAAATGTATAGAAAAAGGAAGTTTAGTTCTTTTATTCATGAATGAGATTAGTAATCTCTTTACGTTTCTGAGAGGGAGGAAAACGAACTAAAAGATTTCTAAAATGCTCAGCATTTTAAGAGGAAACCTGAGCTGACAGTGTGGGTGTCAGTGCACCAGCTGCAGGAAGTGTGGGTCTCCGTTACCAGGTTTGTGGAGAGGTTGACGAAGTCTGCGTAGTCCTTGTTGATGAGCTCGACCATGGCGGTCTTCAGCAGCTTGTAGTAGAGTTCCAGGTCATCCCTCAGCTCCTCCAGCTGGACCCGCTTCCGACAGTCAGACACGAAGTGATCGACGTCGAAGTCTTCCTGAGAATACAAACGGAGCAGCTCTGAGTCACTTGAACGCTTTCACAGCGCTGCCTGCAGACCCTTTATGACCAGTAACATGGTCTCAGCTGATGCCTCCGTTCGGTATGTCTGTCTTACTAGAAGCCCGATGCATGAAATCTGTGCACTGCTAGGGTTCCTAGTGGTTGCCTGCTGGGTACTCCCTCCCTTCCCCCAGGCCATCTGCTATTGCAGCTGCAGCAGGTCAGGACCTCCCTCCCTTCCCCTGGCAGGCCACACCCCCTAGTCGAAATCCCAGTGGTGGGACAATTTGCATCCTAGGCTTTTATTATATAGGACCATGGCCTGCACACCCGCCTCCAGTTCCCCTCATCCAGAGAGCAGGGCAAAGTGAGAAAGAGTATGAATATCCCACTCTGCCCTACCCAGTGTGGCTCAGTGGATAGAGTTTCAGCCTGTGGACTGAAGGGTCCCGGGTTCCATTCTGGTCAAGGGCACGTACCTCAGTTGCAGGCTCCTCCCCGGCCCGGGCCCTGGTTGGGGCTCGTGCAGGAGGCGACCAATCGATGTGCTTCTCTCACTTCGGTGTTTCTCTCTGTCTCTCCCTCTCCCTTCATGCTCCCTAAAATCAATGGGAAAATATCCTCGGGTGAAGCTTAAAAAAAAGGAACTCGTCTTGGGACTGGGGGGGTCACGGACGTTGTGGATGTGCTGACAGTGACGGGGCACCTCAATGAAAAATACCGAAACAGACCCCGCCCCCAGGGCTGCTGTCAATCATGTCCTGGCCCCGCGGGAGACTCCACTCCTCAGCGTCCCCACCAGGCAGGGCCC